TTCTAGACCAATATGGTATGATAGATTACGCCCTCCTGTAAGGTTGCTCTGAACACCCTCAAAAACTTTCTTTGCTCAACTTCAGACTGAGATGAACTTGACACACAGGATACACCATGAAAGACCTGATTAACAACGCTCTCATACAGCATGAAGCAGTTTGGAGAGAAAAAAAAGCTTCACCCATATTCTCAAATATTGTTTACATTTAAAGGGGAGTATGGTATCGATATGAATAATTTGCATTGGTATTGTATAGTTCATTTTAAAATGTAATGTACAATTAAGAAATATAGGTTAATAGGCAATCATTGATAATAGTCAAGCTTGTAGTCATGTTAGTTAGACTTTCTAGATATATAGAAATATATTTCGGTTAGATAGGCATTCTTCAAATTTTTCAAAGACTACAGAATATGACACTTAATGTTTTAATAATTTAGGGCTTTTCATGACAATGAGACATATCTGCTACTGGCAGCACCAATCTACTTCAAGAGGAAGATGGGCATCAAAGATGCTCCTTATGGAGTTTGATAGACATTTGGGCAAGAAACTGCTCTTGCCTAGATTGATGCATAAACTGGACATGAAGAACCCACAGAGAGAGGACTGTTGAACTTGCCTAAGGTGAGATGGTTCTTATGGTTTCCTGTTTCATGAAAGTCTGTGGGACATTCTGCAGGATACAAAAGAAAATGACTGAATTGTATTTGAAATTTCCTGATTCATGAAAAAGTCTGCTGGATATTATGGGCCTGAAGGCCGAAGATGGATGCCCCAATGGTACAGAAAAACTTTGGGTGACTGTCCAAGCAGGGAGATGTCTCTGTCATTTCTTGAGTTTTGGAAGTTGCTTACTTCTTGTTTACTTAGGACAAAGATTCTATGGTGATATTCGAGATAGTCATCACTGTGATAGTGGGGCAAGGACAGTTCAGGTACCCTCTCCTCTATTACCCAAGGACCTAGCTGTGGACATCCCCTTGAACATCTGGAATCCCTTCTAGAGCCAAGTCTCATGCTAACCGTAAAATGGCTCCTTTTATGTAGATATCATCTTCTCTGCTCATATATCCGCCCTTCCTCTATCTCCACACTTCCACTCCCCCAAGCTCTCCCCAGTCTTTACCTTCTCCCTTTGCTTTCCCCCTCCCCCCTCCCCCCATCCCCACTCCCACCTCTACCCCACCCCCATGCTCCCAACTTTTGCCCGGAGAACTTGTTTGCTTCCAATTTCCAGAAGGATCAATATATGTATTCCTTTGGGTTCACCTTGTTGTTTGGGAAAAAATGTGTAGCCCAGTCTGGCCTCGAACTCGTAATCCTCCTGCCTCTGCCTTCTTCAGCAAATCCTACCCAAATCACCATAGAATCTTTGTCTGGTGATGAATGGAGGTAGAGACAGAGACCTTCATCAGAGCAACGGACTGAGCTCCCAAGGCCCAATTGAAGAGCAGAGGGAGGGAGAAACGGCCAAGGAAGTCAGAACCGTGAGGAGTTGGTCCATCCACTGAGACAATGTGCCTGATCTAATGGGAGCTCACCAAATCAAGCTGGACCAGGACTAAACGAGCATGTAATCAAACTGGACTCTCTGAATGTGGCTGCCAATGGGAGCAGATTAAAAAGCCATCAATAATGGCACTGGGATCTGTTTCTAATGTATGTACTGGCTTTTTGGGACCCTAGTCTATTTGGATGCACAGCTTCCTAGGCCTTTAGGTAGGGGGGAGGGCCTTGGACTTACCACAGGGCAGGGTACCCTGCCCTCTCTTAAGGAGAGAGGGAGAGGGAGGAGGGATGTGGGAAAGTGGGAATGGAATGGGAGGTGGGAAGGAAGTTTAAATTTTTGAATGAAAAAATAAAAAAATCTCAACATTGTAAGTTGCATGAAATAAAAAATAAACCACTGCAAACCTTCAGACTAGCAAGCAGATTTTAAAAAAAAATGTGAAATAATCAAGGAAAATGAGGATTTAGTACTTCCCCCTATGCTTTGAACAATGTAATTTCTCAACATTATTACTGCATGAAGTTCAAAGTAGGCCTTAAAGAAAAAAATCTTTCTGTAATAAAGAAAATTACAAAGATACAAAATGAAATGTAAAGTCTTTTGCAAGAATAGGTGTTTGGACACTGGTGAGGAAAAAGATTTTCATCCTTCATTGTACACCTGACACCTATACAAACAACCTTATCTTTAACATCTGCAACACTAGTAATATATAATAGTCATGGACTTGGTAAAATGAAAAAGCAACTCCCACTAAAAATACTTGTATTCATCCTACAGAAACCAAGAGATAGGAGTGCTATTCGAAAGGCTCCACATGCACGTCAAACATGTGCATCCTATTGAAGGCCAGAAATGGGAAGCTTGATTTCCAGTGTCTCCGAAGAGCTTCAACATCTGCATTCACAACCAGCATCCTGCTTGGGTTACCTCTGACTTTAGTACTTTGCAAGCAAGTATTATGTTTGGGGAGTTCAGGGATGTACCTGTTGTCAGTAACTTCATGTTTAGAATGTGCTGCAGCTGTTTTTGAGCTATAGAAAATGAACACCCCTAAAATGGAACATTTTTGATGTAGAAGGGTCATCTGTCTATGTTTTACTTTCATTGGTTAATAAAGAAACTGCCTTGGCTTTTTAATAGGACAACACCTTAGATAGGCAGAATAGACAGAACAAAATTCTGGGAGAAAGAAAGCAGAGTCAGGCAGACGCCATGATTCCCCTTCCTGAGATGGACGTTGGCTAGACTCATGCTGGTAAGCCACGACCTCATTGTGGTATACATATTATCAGATATGGGTTAGTCAAGATGTGAGCATTAGCCAATAAGAGGCTAGAACTAATGGGCCAGGCAATCTTTAAATGAATACAGTTTCCATGCAATTATTTTGGGTAAAGCTAGCTGGGAGGCAGGAAACAGCCCACTGCTTATTTTGCAACACATTTTTACCAAGAGGAAAATGGATTTGATTTTAATTAATCAGGACTTTCCTGCAGATGTGAAAACCATAGGAAGGTGAAAAGGAGGCTGATAAGTATAAAGGAATCCTGACGTTTACATGGACAATTCTTTTAAAAAAATAAAAAATGTATTTCATTAGCATCATAAATAGTGAAATCTGCTTATATTAAAAAAATAGGTGAAGCTTTGTTTGGACATTATTTCCTTGCAAGAGCAGTACATATCCTTTGTAAAAAACTACCATATTTACAATTTCATTTCCTTGACACTTAGGTAGGATTGAAAGCCAGAGGAAAACATGAAAGAATGAACTTTGAGATAATCTGTATTGCTAAGGTGGTATCAGTGAGGGTAATCAGATTAGGGTAAAGCAGTTTCTAGAATCCTGGGCTAATCTGGGTAGTTAGCTCATTTGGTGAATGGTCAGGGATGTGCCTGTTCAATCCAGCGTCTCTTCTGGCTTGGCAGCTTTCTCCAGGGAACCAGCAAGGCTAATGAAACCCCAATCAGTCTCAAAAGAAAAACCAGGCAAGAGTACTGGAGTTATCACAATCTAGTCTTACCACTAAAAAAAAAAAAAAAAAAAAAAAAAACTATAAAGTGCATGTCCATAGATGTGAGCCAGCCATCTCATCTTCAAATATGGGCAATACAACTAGAATTTGAATTTCGAATAACCCAACATGCCTTACTTTCAATAAAAGATGATCTCTTAATTTATGAATATGTCTTTTAATGCGGCATGTTGGATCTGCTAGATACAGCAATGAAACATTGACAAGTGTGCATTATTACCTTACATGATAAATCTCAAAAACAAGCAAATCCGAGACTTTTTCCAAAGCACACCCATTTATACAAACTAAAATCCCTACTTTAAAATTGATTTAGAAGTCTCGTTTCTCCACCTACTGTTTTTGAGGAGTAGATTGCAAAAACATCAATTTAACTTGTGCTAGGTGGTAGTGGTTTGTTTTTTTAAACCAAAGATAGCCCTGCCAAACTTGTTGATTTTCTGCTTCATCTATTCAAGTCAATTACTGTGTCAAGCTGCTGTGCCTGTCACTGTAGGAAACCAGTTCATGCCTATATCACTGTCATCATGAAAATGTTCCATTCTCCAGAACAGTGCACTTACCTTCTATCACTTCCTGCCTAAATCCAAGTTAAAATCCATGATTTCCATTGGGTTTTAGTGCAGTTTGATTCTACAATGTCCTTTCTTTCCATGTCTCAGTAGCTGTTCCCAAATACATTAAATATAGATATGTTCTGCACTTGACACCCACACACTTACAAAATCAGCTGCGTACTTTGTTTGGTGTGTTTGTTTTACTAGGGCGGCTCATAAAAGCAGTTCTCATTGCTAAGTTTGGTACTTTACAATTTTGAGTGCGTTAATAAACAGTACATTGGGAAAATACTGAGCCTCTACAAAATAACTTTACCTTTATAAACAAACTAATGTAATTTTCTTCACTCAAACAAGCATAGGCTTGTTTTCAATATTTCCTCAAGAAAAATATCTCAATGAAACACTAAGTTCACTCTATTGTGTGCCGGAGTCATGGGCTTAGGACAATTAATACACTTAGAAGATGCTACCTGTTTAGTGTTATTTACACTGGTATGTCCATCATCCCCTAATCTGGAAGGTGAACAAACTATATTCAGAATGTGACTGAATTTGCGTCAATAACTGGGAACGGTATAGCTTTAATTAATCAGTTACTAAACACATAATGGGACTTAGTCTTGAGTGGGAATTTTCTTCATACCCCTCTTATGGCCTGGGAAACTTAATAAGAGGTTAACATGATAAAGGAGCCCCTGCTAAGGCAGACCTTATGGTAACGAAGGGAAAATGACAAGTGTACAAGGGTAAATTATCAGCAACAGGTTAGTACAGGTTAGGTACTGAAATCAAACACTGAAGGCCGAAAACGTCGCGTCTGAAATATTCTTTCTATCCTGAAAGAGAAACTAGAGAAAAGACACAATTCCCTCAGAAAGCAATGAGTCGATTCAGGTTGTGACTTTATATTTAAGCACCACTCAAAAAACATGGACACAAAGCAAACGATTTCTCTTTGCCCGTCACTATTCCAGCTACACAGCTTCGAGAGTTCTGTTCTCATTACACAACCCTTTCTCTGTTCCCAGAAGATAAGACAGCCCTGCGACAAATGGGACAGGTGGTATTTTCTGATAACCAGCGGTCGATGCAGTGGGCGTGGTACTCATGGGAGCAAGGTAGCTTACGAATTTTGTTGCCTACCATGTATTCCGTAATGCAAATAGTACATGTCTTCAATGCGTCATTTTCACCAAAACTTCTCATTGCTAAGTTAGCAATCTGTTCTTTGGTGAGTCCTCTAGTTTGGTGGTTGTCATTAAAAGGGTAAAGTAGGGTTTCATACACCCTTGAGCTTCTTTGTGAACTTTCACGATTGGAACTGAAGCCGGGGTTGGAGCTGGAGCCAGCAGCAGAGCTGTTCTGACCAGAGCGCCCTCTTCCACTCCGTGGAAACTCACCAAAACCTGTCGTTCTCTGCCTTGATGGGGTTTGAAAAGGAACAGGTGCAGTTTCCCTTGATCCAGTATCGAAGAGTGTAAGAGTGGAAGACCTGTTAGTATTCACAAAGGTGCTCCCATCTGCAGGTTCAAAAAATGTTAAGGTGCCTATAAAACCTCCACGACCACTATCATAAAGGACCACGGTGTTTGGGGCCTGGGACCTTGACCGAGTTCTGCTAGCTACGCTATCTCTCTGGTGGTATTCTCCCTGCAGAACTCTTCTGACTTGAAGGTCTGTGGTTGGAGGTCTTTGACCAGATCCTGCCGCTCCACCATTGGTACCCATGTCTGAAGAACTTGACCCTTGAGCGGCAGAATTTCTTGACCCAGAAGCCGCCAAAAGACCTCTACCTAGCAACTCAGGTCCAGTTATCTGCTGTCTCAAAGTCCCATGGCGAGGGGTTCTAGAACTTCCCTCGATCTCATTTACCAAAGGGTGCACAAAGGTATGAGATGAGACTCTACGATGAGATCTTCGTGGAATTTCATTTGCTGTGTGCAGAGGAGACCTACTTCTTTCAGCTCTGGCTCTGGGTCTTCTCCCGTGTTCTGGTTTGCGGCTTCTTGCCCTGCTTCGACCTCTGGTGGATGGCACTTCTGTTAATGCTTCAGCAGAACTGCGTTCTGACCTAGATGGTCTGGCAGATGATGTCTCAGATGCTGAATTTTCCATTGGCCTTTGGCTGCTGCTGTCCATGTTTTCTGCACTAAGATCTGTAGCAGACGGTTCATTTCCGTTCTCTGGGGTTTGTCTTCCATTATTACGGTTCACACGTGTCTCTAAACTGAATCTGAGATCACCAGTGTGTGAATTAGTGTGGTCCACTGCCCTCCAGGACTGATTTCCTCTCTGACCACTTCCTGTTGTATTGACAGTCTGTCGGACAGAGTTAGGCCAATCAATTATGGAGTCACCATTGGACATGTCATCTCCAGGTCTATTTTCATCTGAGCTCTGTGGCGGGGGCGGCCCCTCTTTGATTTGCTGTAGTCTTCTGAGCAACTCCTCCTCAGTAGTTTGACCCGGGGTGCCTAGCAAATTGTTGTCTCTCATAAGTCGATAGTCTTCTCCGCTCAGATTATTTACAAATCGATAGAAAGCTTCTTCCCGATTCAATCGAATCAATTGCCTTCTGCGCTGTGCTGCAGATTGGTCATTTCTTTTATCACTAGAATCTGAGTTTTCCATCTTGATGAACAAGTGGAGGATTTCTGTCTGTTATGACATAGGACTGAAATCCAATAAACCGGACTTTCAGTTTTCTTCACTAGGCTTCGGTGGTCCGGCCAGGAGGGGACTGGCTGGGCTCTGAGGCCTCAGCTGCTGCCGTGGCCACCTGAGCTCTGCCGCGTGGCTGCCTCCTGCTCCCTAGCCCACCTCCGAATGCCTGGGAGAGACCCGCCTCTAGCCCAGGAGCTCCGCCCATTCTGACACGTAGCTCAAGCAGCCATTCTCTTCCATTGTTACCTAGCAGTGACAGAAATCGACTCACGGTAAATTTTCTTAAAGTCACCCCAAATTACCTATTGAATGTAGTTCAGGTCCCCTTTCTCAGCTACTTCACGTGACTCAAGAAGTCCTACTTAGAAAGCAGATGATTCAGCCAAAGTGTACCAGGTGGGCCTGGGGAAGAGCTACTGGTAGTCCTACTCGAAGGACACACCCACTTTTCTTGCAAGGCTGGCATCATGCTGGGGAATTTAGTGAGACAGTGACTGCTTCGTGATAGGCTGGCATCACACAGGTAGTTCATTGTGCTATTCCCCAATGACAGTGGCTAGGTGCCATCATGAAAGGAACCAAGAGTTGACATTCTCTACTCTGGTGTCATGAAAACAAGGATTAAGTCATGGAGCCTGAAGACACCTGGCTACAGCCCTCGAGTGGGAGATAGCTGTAGGGACTATTACAGAGAATGGGAAAGCAGGTATGGACTTGCTGATTCATTCAGGTTGGCATCTGATTAGGGTGGTAAGGAAAGGGTGGTTTTAGCCCAGCCCTCCATGTAAAGAACTGTTAGTGTCACCCGAGGTCAGCAGGAAGTTTGACTTCTAGAGGGGCCTGCAGGCCATGCATTTCACTACCAGCAGGATGGAAAATGAAAACTCAGACCTGTTGGAGCGCTTCATTTCCACAACCCCCTTCCTCCCACAGTGCATTCACTGAGGGCTGTTATATGAAAACACAGAGGCTGAGCCTCCTACTCAGATCTCAGTTCTCTGTTTGCTCCCCTTCCCCACTCTTCAAAGTGTTCAGGGGCCTCTCATCAACGTGGTAAGTAGGCAGAGCCCAGAACATAATCTCTGGAGAAGGTGGAACATGGGAGCACCTGCTTAGCCATAAGGCTTGGAAAAGCAAAGTGTGTGTGGTAGATGCTGTTGCTATACAAAGAAGAGAAGCTCCCAAAGAAGATGGACATGTTGAAGGCCTGACCCTTGGCTAGTCCAGGATCAGCCGTGACATAAATGGGAGGCAAGGAAAGAGAACTCTATTTAAACACACCAATCTTTGCTGCTAGCCGACTCCAATGTCAGAAAGAAATCACACACAAATGTGATTTAAAAATTTGTTAACTAGAGGAATTGGTATGATGTGCTGAGTTTTCCTATGCCAGACTTAGTCCATCACTTCTGATTTCAGGACCCTTCAGCTCCTCAGGATATAGACAGAATGCAGCCAGATTCTCTGAGAGGATATAAGACAAATGGCATCTAACCTAGTTCCCAGTAGAGTCCTTGTTCCCCCTTGGAACCTCATGAGCACAGACTTCACTGTCTATGTTTCTGTTGGCATTTTGTTCTTCCCATGTCCCACCCATTAAGCTTTAAGTACAGTGTTCAAGGACTTCTCTAGCCTGCAACTCGGAACTCTTCTACATTCCTCCGTGTGTAAGTCCAAATGCCTATGGCCTGCAAGGTCACGTTTATCACATTAATGATTCCAACCCTGGTACCAAGGTTCTGGATTTATTTCTTTTCTAACTGTCCTGACAAAATACCAGACCAAAGTATCTTTATAAGACAAGGGCATATTTTGAGTCAGGCTTTGGAGCAGATACAGCCCATCATATTGGGATTGCATGGTAGTGACAGTGGCTCCAGCTCTTGTGGCAGGCTGTTGAGACAGCTCTTTACACTGTGCCAGTGGTGGCAAGGCAGGGAGTGATGATGCTCTGCTCAGTTTGCTTTTTCCTTTTATCCTCTCCTCTGGGAGCCCAGCCCATCGACCGGTGCAGCCCACATTTCCGGGGTGTATTCCCTGAGAGTTGTCTCTCTAGAAATGTCCTTCTCGACAGGCCCAAATCCAGCTATGGTGACAATAAAAATCAACCACAGAAACATAATGAAGACCATGTACAACAACCTTGTCACCAGCATTATTCTAAATGGGAGGAAATGGAAAGCATTTCATTTCTAATAAGAAGGTAAAATGTCCACTTTCTTCACTCTTACTCAATGCAGTGCTGAAATCTTAGTCAAAGCAATAAGACAAGTGACAGATGCTACTACAATACCTGTTTTGAGTACCAGCTGCATAAGATGATTCCAACTTGGTTAGCTGAAATGATGCACATCTTTTAAAACATTCTGGCCAGACCTACAAAAAATACTCAGAGACTATTTACAATCTTACCAGACATTAATCGTGAAATTTAGCCATCATTTTACTTTCACAGGATCCCCCAAAAAGAATGTCGCCCCCATGACCCATGACAGCTGGAAGTAATTCTAGAGGATGATGTCCCCATCTCCCAGTAAGTTTGTCCTTGGGTTTAGGCACATCATTTATGGGTTGATTATACTTAGTATACAGTTGAGGGTTGGAGGAGGAATTTTATAAGCTCAGGGATCTTTAAAAAATAAAGAGGGATAATTGGATGATGGGATAATAGATAGACTGGTACTTGTGAGTTATTGCTTTTAGACAATTATATTGGTTTTGATCCTTGTATATTGATACAAAGTTAAATTATATTGACTATTGTATGCATGCATGCTTCTACCTCTGTTTAAAACATTTTAATATATTAATATATATATTGTATTGATATATGTATATTTGCCATATTGCAGTGTACATTTCTACCTCTGATTAAGATACTTATATATTGTTTATATATTGATATATATATACATATACATATATATATATTTACCATATTGCAATGTATACTTGCACATTGTTTATATTTGGAGGTCATATTGTCCTCATTTGTTGCACAGTTGTTTACTGCCTTAATCTTTATGTTAGATAGGTATTGAGAATTATATAGATCAATAGTCATCTATGTTTGTCATTTATAATTAGACTAATCAGGTACTTTAGATACATAGAAGTTATATTTAGTATTGATAGATAATCTTCAACCTCTTCAAAGAGCTGTAGAAAATGGACTTTAATCTAACTCAGAGTTCCATGGTAGTGAGACACAACCACTCCTGGCAACACCCATCTATTCCTGAGAGAATATTGAACACCAAAGACACTCCATCTGGAGCCTTTCTTCTTGGCAAAACTGACCTTTGGGTAATAAATGCCCATACCTCAACCACTGACAGAGATACAGAGTATCCATAAATGGACAAAACAGGACTGTCATATCCTGCCAAGACAGGGTAAGATAGTTTTGAAAAGTTTCTTGCCTTTGAAAATGGTATGTCAGTTATGTTAGGCCATAAGCAAAGTTGGTTGCTTCAATGATGCAAACATGACTTTGGGTGGTTGCCCAGGTAGCCAGTTGTCTCTGTGATTTGTTGCATGTTTTGGAAGTTGTTTGATCGCACTTCCTAATTACTCAGGTAACATTATTTCCCTTCTCAGATCTTCGATGGGGTTGAAGACTATATAAATATAGTTACTTTTCTCTCATGAGTTGGCCTAGTTATTTATTATACAAGCCTTAAGCTAGTTAGAATAGGATATTTGTATTTATTGTATATAATTTCGTAGTAGGTTTAGAACTCTCTTACTTAAACAAAAGGGGGAGGTGCTGCAGGAGCTCCTTCCACTCCTTCAGCCAATAGCCACTGAGATACCAGCCCATTGGGGCGTGGTCTCTCTTTCTTTCAAAAAGCAGCAGCTGTCCTCCATTCTCTCTCTGGCTTCCAACCCTGATTCCTTCTCCTAGACTCCTTTCCTCATCGCACAGAGGGCTGTTGTCTGGGACAGTTATCTGCAAGTTTTTCCCCTTTAAATAAATAACCATTCTATTAATCATAATTCCAAACTGGCGTGGGATTGTTTGTGACTTACGCCTTCAGTAAATGGCTAATGTGCAGGCATGATTGAAATGAATGCTACTAGAGGCAGGGAGGAGAGACATGACTTGGTTTACTTACACTGGATAAATTTATGATCCAACACAGCTTAACCTGGATACATATCCTTTAATTATGAAATGTTTTTAAAATAAATTACAATTCCAACAGTTTCACCTTCATATGTTTTCTAAGTATTAAATTATTTTTTTCTGGTTTAGTAAGTATATAAGGTTCTTATGTTGTAGCAAAATACAGGTGAAATGATAAGTATGAAAATGTTATCTATAGTGAATATATTGCAAGAGGATGGAAGGCTTTTAGAGAATGTGTGTCTCTTGACTATTGTTCTTGATAATACTTCATCTTACTTACTAATGTTTTAGTTAGAAGATGTGGAAAGTCTACATCATGAAATCTTTACAAAGGTATACTTGTGGGTAATTGACACCTGTCATGACACTCTAACCTTCCTTTTATATGTTTTTGGAGGGCAGGTAGTTATTGAAACTGACACTTTGATCTGCTAAATGTATTAAGCTTCTGTATTTAAGGCTGCCTTCTGTCTCTTACAGGAAACCATCTGAATTTAACAGTAAGAAAAAGAATCTACACGCATTGCCCATTGAGGGGCTCAGTTTTTCTTCATTTCATACTCATTTGCCAAAGTTTGGATTTGGATATTATTGTAGTCAACAAAAAAGAACAGACAAATAAGACAAGGTTTGTGCCACTCAGAGGCTGAATATTTCTGTGGCTTTTCTTTTTCTCCACGGTTTATTATTGCGAAGAAGGAAGTTGTTTACCATTTTGGACCACATTTTATTTCCCTTGGTCTTTATACATGTTCTGTTCAAGGCAAAGTAGACTTTATGATGTTCGGTCTCTTCTCAGCAGAGTTCATGCATTCCATGTTATCATCTTGGGGCTTTCTTTCACATCTGTTTGAAGTTTGCCTTCTGTCATTGTGCAAAATGCCTGACATAAAAGACTGTAGAGAGAAAGAGAAGTTTGTTTCCCAGCTTTAGATGTTTCACCACGCTTGTTTAATTGTAACTTCAGCAAGGCAGAACATGGTAAAGAGCTTGTGGCAGGGAGGATTGGTGCGGGAGAATTGTCTGTAT